TAAGCTATTATAACAAGTGACCATTTAACATTATATTAGGGTTGACTTATAGCAAAGCTACTAGCCTATTATAACCACTGACCACTTGACTTAAAAGTCTCAGGGTTTGGATCTGTAGAATCTTTATATGTTAATATTGAAGTTAAGCACTTATATAAGTAAGGTCATATGCTTCAAGTGCTTGCAAAGGCTAACAGGCTTGTGGGTTAACCCAGTCCTTGCAAATAAGGATGTATATTAGATCTATATAATGCTTAGGCCTTGCATATTAGGCTAGCTTAAGCTTTTACGACAAGTGGCAATACAGCTTAAAACAATAAATAGTATTATGGGTGAATTAAAACTTAACAGGGAGAAAAATATCCAAGGTTTGGTTGGTTTAAATACATTGAAACCCAATTTCTAAATGTTGTGCTTGTCATCTGACAAGGCAATATGCCCAAGTGATGATGTAGTTTGTTTGGGGGTATGTTACTGTAAAGAGGAACACTTTGTGGAGACAAGTGCGTTTTTTGAACTGAGAATGTTGGTGGCTTTAATAATATTGCTGGTGGCTGTGACTGGAGCCTGGTTTGCTTTTTGGTATGAAAGAGAGTCAAGGCCCAAGAAGCGCGATGACATCAATTTTTGCTCCCGTGTAAAAATGTAATTAAAAAAATTTAAATCAATATATAGGTGTTATATAATATATAGTTATAATTTTTTGGGTTCCCTCTTTAAATATTTTTTGAGGTGGTCGGAATCTAGAAATTAGGCAGGCATCTGGCCGGAGTCGAGCAACTTCGCCGGATTTTAGGCAATATGGTCGGAGTCCTTTTTATTTTCTTATTGTTTTATTTTTCATATTCCTTTTCTTTTGGAATTAAGCATATGACCCATAAAGTTGTTACATAGGATTTAGTTGCTATTTCATGAGTGGGGTCTTTGTTTTCACTAACTATATCTTAACCAACTTTATTTTCTCATTGTTCTATTTTTCATTTTCCTTTTCTTTTGCATCTATGTTGAAAGCAAGGATAATTCATGACCGAAACCGTTTCATTCTCTCTTGGAGGTTTGATTTTTGGTCATTAAGGTCTTCATGCATCAAACAAGATACACAAAATACCAGACATCTTTGTAGTTTAATCAATTTGACATAAAGTTTCGTGATTTTTATACTTTTATGATTGCTATTTCATGAAAAGTATATATTATTATTTCGAATGCTTTTTAATGCTTGATCACCAATAAAATTGATATATAGAGCATAATTGAGATCTAGAGGAGATTTTATACAATAACTTTTAAGAATATATATATTAAGAGTTAAACGTAAGTCAGAGATAGATCAATTTGATTTGTGCAATATTAGTAATAAGTAGATTTAATTTTTTATGTAAATTAGGGAATTTCATATAATAAAATGTAGTTTTATCTATTTGAATTTTAATATTAAGTGTTTTTATGCATAATTTATATTATACAAAAAAACACTTAATATGTCATTACACATTAAAAAGAATCCTTACTCAGCTCCTAATGCAACTTTAAAGATAAGACGCAGGATAACAATGAATTGACTCACCATAACAGAAAAAACAACATAACCCCATCCCATACAAGCAATTTATCAAACACCTGGTGTACATGACACAAAAAGCTTCTAATCTACCTTGACCATTCTCTCAAAA